TGTGGGTTGTGCAAATGAAGAAATGATCGATGAAGAAGAAATTAGAATAAAAAAGAGAGATAATGATGCGTTTTGAAAAATACAAATGTGATATTGGAGGTGGAGGAAATAAAACGGAGTTGGATAAATATCTTAGTGAAGGTGCTGAAAATAACAGATGCGATTTTAATATTTTAGAATGGTGAAAAACCAATTCTCCTCGGTTTTCCATCCTTTCATGGATAGGGATATATGGACGGTTCTCGTTTTTATCGTTTCCTCATAATCGATATTTAGCACTAGAGGAAGGTTCTTAACTACTTTAGGAGTTCTTTGACTCTTAGCTTAGTGGAATCTCTTATATGTGCTCAAGATTGGATTAAAAATTCATCGAAACCAATTATTATTGAAGAAAATTTGCAAAATGTTGAGAAAATGCAAGATAGTAATTTCTATAACTCTTACCTTTTCATTTTTTATTTCTTTCCTTTATATTAATATTAAAAGTTTAATTTTTTTATCTTATAATTTTCAGAGTTACCACTTTGCCACTACCTCTATTAAAAATGGTTGAATCTTGATGGGTTGATGACTTGATGGTGTTTTGACGTGATGAATGGTATGTGTAAGTTATTAAGTTTTTACTTTCTAAGTTTGATTTTTTATTTTTGTTGTTTCGTAAGTTTAGTCGGTAAATGGGAATTGTAAATTTTCATTTTCATTGAACTAGAGAAGAGAACCATAGTAAGTAGTAGCCTATTGCCTCGATGCCTCGTGCCCACTAGTAGTCGCCGGTAGGCTCTGCTGCGTGGGCGATAGACTTATCGCCTCGGTGTCTCCTACCTACCGACGAGTGGGCGGTAGGCCTACCGCCTTTGATTTTCCTAGCATGTTAATATCCTCTTTCGGGAGCATTGAGTGTTTGTTGGGATTTCATTCTATTGCGGATCCTAAAAGAGTGAAGGTATTGCAAATGCACGGAAATCATTTGTTTTAGGACGGGAAGAGAGCTCGTGTCTCATCCTCTTTGTTGAGAAATGAGAACGGACATTATACCATGCTTTTGTTATTTAATGTCGATTGCATTATATCCGGATCTTTATTTCATCGGTAATTATTTTGCATGACTTATTTCCTTTTTCGATGTATGAATGTTAAACATGTTGGGTGTTTAAATTTGACTTTAATTGTGAATTTTTTTTTTTTGGTGTTGAATCCTTTTTAGAGAAGAAAGTGGTTACTTGTTAGCTCGGCATTGCTAATTACTCGAGCTTAGGCAAAGAAAAAATAAATGAAAGTCTTGGGAGAAGCTGTCTAAAGTCCGAAATGGAGAAGTAATGAAAAAGTTCGGTTAAACCGAATTATTTCAAAACCGAATCGAAATAATTTGGTTACAAACCGAATTAATTTTGGTTCGGTTTCGGTTTTTATTTTTCCTACTTTGGTTAATCGAAAACCGAATCGAATTATGCTTAATCGAACCATTTAACCGAATGTTTACCCCTAAACACAACACATGAATGAGACCAAACCTAACACAAACATCCATTCGTTTTTTTTTCTTTTTTCTTTTTGTTTTTACCTTTTTCTTATGTTTTAATCTTGTTCCTCTATTTGATTTTTTTCACTTTAATATTTTTTATATAAAATTTAAATAAATAATTTTTAAAAATTCAAATAAAAAATTGAAAAGAAAAAAAGATAAAAGATAAAAATATATTTGGTCATTCACCTAAAAAAAAAAAGGTGAAGTTAAAAATATTTTTTATTCAAAATACTCTTTATGGATTTAAATTTGTCTCTGTGATAGTAAACAAATTTTGTGTATGAAATAAAATATTTATAGTATATTTTTTAAATATGAAGAGAATTTTGGTTAAATTTTTAAACTTATGAATGACATTTATAATTTTGTAATACCACAAAAAAGTCTTTTATAATTTAATTATTTTGATTTTATAAAATATTTAATTTAACTCAAAACTTAGAATATAAATTTTTGTTAGTGTGGAAACCAACACTAACAAATTTCTTAATTTGATTGAAATTTGTAACAAGTTTTATATTCTCAATTTTGAATCAAATTAAAAAAAAAATTATACAATCAAAATAAGTAAATTATAATAGATTCTTTTGAAGTATTATAAAATTATAAATACTATTTAAAAATTAAAAAATAATAGCTAAAAATATCGTCACATTTATAAGAAATACTATAAATACTTTATTTTATATTCAAAATTTGTTTATTATCATAGGCATAAATTTAACCCATAAATGATATTTTCAATTAAAAAAATATATATTTTTAGTCTTTTTTTTTAGTTTTTATTTTTAAGTTTTAGAGAGAATGACCGAATATATCTTTATTTTTTTCTAATTTTTTTCTAATTTATTTATTTAAATTCGGTAAGAAAAAAGAAAGATTAAGATGAAAAAATAGAATATGGTGACGAGATTAAGATAGCTAAAAAGAAAAAATCAACTTGACACATGTTGCAATCATGTTGGATTAATGATGTGTTTTAATATTATTAGCTCGAAAAATTAATGAATGGAAGATTAAGAGTAACCAAAAGAGAGAGATAAATTTAAGACGAAAAAAATGTAAAAAGATTCGATTAAAAAAATAATAGAGAAATTCTTGTAACCATTAACATTTTGATAAATGGAAGTCAAAGAATTTGATGGGCTAAATAGATTGATGCTACACAAATATCAATATTCACGCCCATTTCGTCGTACTTGCAATAATATGCCAGCTTGCACGCACACAGCTGCATGTTCTCTCGATTTGGACTCTATTGTTTTTAGTTAATTCAGTAGCTACATCTTACATTAGCCTAAAAAACTTTGCGGCGTGTTGAAATAAAGAAACAATAAATGAACAAATGAAATAGGAGAACGAAGAAAATATGAAAAATTGCTAGAGATATTAACGAGAATCAGTTAACAACATTGCTGATCGCTTGCTAGGGCAGTAGGTCCAGAGCGGGGTAAGGAACCCTTCAGAAGGAGATTAAGCAGCAAGGCCTATACTTGATGATTAAATTTTATTAAATTTGATTTTTTTTTATTAAACTTATTAAAATTTTATTTTTATTTTAGTCCCTGTTTTATAATTATTTTTTATTTTAATCATTAAATTTTTGTTATATTTGATTGCTTTTCTCTACAAGGAACTATTTTTTACTTTTAGTAAAAAAATTTGTTATGTTTTATTCTTATTTTATGATTTTTCTTTTATTTTGATTATTAAAGTTTTATTATATTTGATTATTATCATTTCTACATTAAAATTAAATACAGTTTCATTGTTCTAAGGGTTTTTTTTTTTTTTTTTTTGCCTTTCAATAAAAAACATTTTTTATTTTGGTTTTATTTTATAATATTTTTTTATTTTGGTTATTAAAATTCTATCATATTTTATTTTTGTTCATGTCTTATGCATAATGAATTTTTTTAGTCTTATTGTTTATAAGTTTTTTGTTCTTTGCTTTTAGTGAAAGTTTTTTATTTATTTTAATCCTTCTTTTATGATCTTTACTTTGTTTTAATCATCTAATTTTTATCATGTGTAATTTTATCTTTATTTTTTATTTTTTTGGCCAAATTCTTGATTTGACAAAGTTTTTTTTTCTTTTGGTTTTAGATGATCTCTCTATCTCATTAACAAATTACGGATGAAGATAAAGAATGTATGGTAACAATTAATCATCTAAAATTCAAAAAACTACTACATCATTATTTTAATTATCGGTTATTATACATATTTCTAATAAAATAAATTTTATATCAAATAATATCTAATTAGTAACATTATATTACTCAACTTTGCAGGCTTTTCGTATATGAGATATATGTTTTGGTTTTTTTTTTAATTTTTTTCTTATGATCCTTTTAAATAATTATTTTTAAATTTTGTATTATATATGAATGAATACATAAGAATATTATATAGCTCACTCCGTAATAATGCACGAGATATATGCTAATTACAATTAAATTAAAATGATGAAAAAAACGCCATTTACAAACTGAAAATGAATCTTAAATCGTACTTTCAGCGTCGAGTCTCTCTTATTCTGATATTCTCTATCATTTATCATAGTTGAAATACAAAAGAACTAAGTAGGAATATCTTTCAAATTTTTAGCTCTATACACGTTTGAGGTACAGAGGAGAGACCATGGAATGGGCAACTCAATTTCTGAAGGATTTTTCCCCTTTGAAGAGTGCTATTTATATATTAACATGGGCTTATCCAAGCCTGATTGAAGGTACAAACGGGACACTTGAATGAGACCAAACACAAGTATTCATTCCCTTTTTTTTTACCTTTTTTTTACGTTTTAATTATGTATAAGAATTGATAATTAAAATAAAGATATAGTAGTTTTTTAAATTTTAAATAATTAATTTTTATTATATATTTTTTATTTATAATTTATTAATGAGATACAAAGACCATTCAAAATAAAAAGATAAATATGCTAAAAAAATATATAGAGAAATGAAGCATGATGACAAGATTAAGATAGCTAGAAAGAAAAAATCAAGTTGACATGTGTCATAATCATGTGGGATTGATGATGTGATTTAATATTATTAGCTCAAAAAATCAATGAATGGAAGAGATTAAGACAGTAATCAAAATTGAGAGACAAATTTAAGATGAAAAAAATAAAAAGATTCGATAAAAGAAATAATAGAGAAATCCCTGTAACCATTAACATTTGATAAATGGAAGGTCTAAGAATTTGATAGGCTAAATAGATTGATACTACACAAATATCAATATTCACTCCCATTTCGTCACACTTGCAATGATAAACCAGCTCGCACGCACACAGCTGCATGTTTTCTTGATTTGGATTCTATTGTTTTTGGTTAATTCAGTAGCTACATCTTACATTAGCCTAAAAAAATTTGAGGCGTGTTGAAATAAAGAAACAGTAAATGAACGAATGAAATAGGAGAACGAAGAAAATAATTAAAATTGCTAGAGATATTAACAAGAATCAGTCAACAACATTGTTGATGCGCTTGCTAGGGCCAGAGGGGGGTAAGGGACCCTTCGGAAGGAGATTAAGCAACAAGGGCCTATACTTGTTGACCACTTCCTCCCCTTCTGGGACATCATTTCTTCCTGAGAGAACAAGGTTTGGTCCTTGTTGGATAGCATCACCATGGTGTAGTAGAGAGCCACCTAGGAGCCTGGCATAGGATGGTTGAGACATGACCATCACAAGCAAGAGTATGAAGATAGCACCAATATTGATTTTATTTGATTCAACCATTTTATTTGGAAAGCAGAATTTGGGCGATGAAGTAACGAGGGGATTGTGAAAATGTTTGAGAGGAAGAAGAAATTGTAATGGTAGAAGAAAAGTGAGGAATGGATTTGTCTGTGATGCTGAAGCAATTTATGAGATGATTTTGGAGGAGACTTTTTGAGCAAGCTCTTATATTCAAAAAGGAAAGTCAGCATTTTGAAGTTTCTTGGGAGGAACACTAACGTGTTTCCGATATGGGATTTTGACTTTTTACACATTTTTTTTCCCATTGAATCCCTGTCTGTCAAGTTGACCATGATAAAATTCACAAAGAGCAAATCTAACACGCTTTCATGTCGGTGTATATGGCCGGAAGTTTGTTCACCCTGAACATTTACCCTTATAAAAGACCGACCAACTGAGGGTAGTAGCAGTCTCTCAACAGTACCCAAGATACTAATTCTGAACTGTGATTTCAATTCAAAAAACAGCATTGGCCTCATTTGGCTGTCACGTTCTGGGTTTGATCCACAGTGATTTCAAGCTCATGGGTCTTTCAGAAAACATCAAACTTGTTTGTTTTCTGCTTCAACAGCTGCTAAACTCAGGCTTGCCCATAAATAGTTGAGACACCAGACACTAAAGAAACTGAAATTTTCAATGAATCTTATTATCAATAAGGTAGAAAAAAATGGCTTCAAGCTGAAAAATGAACCAATAAAGAGGTTACATATCCACTGTTACTTTATAAAGAAAAATTTACAAATTTTTGAGATTTATTTACAATTCAGAAACAAATAACAAAAACAAATGTGTCAAACTGGTAACACCACTCTTGATGACGAACCACTCACAGTTGCAACAGTACTATGCCCTTCCAAAAAATCACCATCCAAACCAGCCGCCCATCTTCTAAGAATCCTCAACAAACTAGAGGCCTTTCTTCTTGCTCTCATTGTTCCTGATCCAATCAATTCCCATATAATCCTCTCGATTCCCATCATCGATGCGAGCTCTGCCACCATTTCTGCCCCCCTTTACGGCAGATGGTAACAAGTGTTGCCGCAGCGCTTTCTCTAGCTTTCTCCGATCCTTCCCTCATCAACACACCCAACTTCTTAATCGCATTATACGAGGCAGCCACTGCCACTATTCCTCCTCTCCTCACCACCGTTTCTAGTAACGCCGCAGCTTCTTCCGGCAACACATTGATCACCTCATGAATCATATCCGAAACTCCTTCCTCAACTAGCCTCCCAACAGTCTCCCTATCTCCCGCCAAATTCAAAATGGCCACCAATGCATCTCTCTTCGAACTCTTGGGCCCGCTTCTGGCTAAATCCATCAATCCTTTAACAACACGTGTCTTCCTCCCAAGTTTTTTCCTATAAGAGTGCACACCAGATAGGCTGAAGATAGTTGCGGCCGCATTCCCCTTGGCCTCCCACGTGGAACCAGCGCGTAACACCTCGACAACGCCGTTGAAAGCTCTGCCGTTTTCCATGATCTTTGTTTTGTTCGCTTCAAGTATGGAAAGGTTTAGCATAGCTGTAACAGCGTTTACTTGTAAATTCGGAAACTCCGAACCCACATCCGAGCCTAAAAATCGACCGAGGACTGGAATAGCTCCAGCTTCTGCAATGCAGGCTCGGGAGTCCGAATTAGTCTTCGCAAGTGCACGAAGTTCATAGATGACTCCGTTAGCAGCTTCCATTGACTGTGTGGCCGACATTTTGTTAACCAGAAACGACACAGTCATCTTGGTAGCCTCAAGAGCCGCCTTGTTTTTCATAACGCCGTTTATTCTGTTGTTACCTTCCGCGGTTTCAAAAGGTATTTTCTGCTCACGGCACCACATGGCTATCAAATTCTTCAAAGCTCGGTTAGGTATCAAGCTGGTATGGACCAGGGTCTGACCCGTCTTGGGACACGTGTTGTGCCCTGATTCAATCCAGAGATTAATACTCCCACGATCGTACGTCTGACCTGTGGCCACCACAACTGGGTCCCGCATTAAGTCCAGGCTAATTGGACACCGAAAATCCGCCGGAATGTTCACGTCCGATGTTAATTTTTTCCTCCTGGTATCAGAACCTGGTGTCGATGGTTCGAACAACACGCATTTCGCGTAACGAACGAGTCCTATCAAAGCAATCACGTCGGATTTCGATTTCTCATCTTTTTGGTTCTGAACTTCATCTTCAAGATTCTCAATTTCTTCTTTGCAGGATAAAGAATTGTGCAAGTCCAACAAATTAAAAATCTCTGCCAGCTTTGAATAATCAGGGACAATCTCCTCCTGTATCCGATCAAGCATTGTTAACACATCTTGCTTTAAATTGGAATCTCTTTTATCGACAAAGACTTTAGCCTGAGAGCATTGCTTTCTTAACAACGAAAACAATTCTTCAACGTCTTCGCTAATTTCGACTTCCTTGAAAGGAAAAATATCCAAAAGAGTTGCTAATTCTACCGTCAGCTCATGGAAATTATTTGCAACTGAATCGCTTTGCATCAATAGCCACATCTTGCTTCCATTCACGCAGTCTTCAAGCAAAGTCTTGATTCTTTGAAGAACTAAGTACATTTCTTCGAAGCATAAGAGAGTAGGAGATGAGAAGAGAATTGGGTTTTTCAGAAGTTCCTCGAATACGATTGCGAGGACCTTCGTTTTACGTAGGATTGATAAGGAGTTGCGTTTTAGAAGGAATTGAAGAGGTTTGAGAGAAGAGATTTCTTGGGAGATTACAAGGAGAGATTGGAGAAGTCTCTGGTCAGAGAATTTCGGTGGTATAAATGCCCCGGCGGACGGCCGCCGTTTTCTTGGCGGGAAAACTTGAGGAGAAACTGCCATGAAAGAATTATAACAGAGAGTTTTCTCCAGAAACAAAGTGAAATGATTGTAAGAAATGATGATGATGATGATGATGATGATGATGAAGGAGGTGATAGAGTTTTCTTGGCTTTTGATTGAACGTGAAGATTTGTAGGAAGTTATTGGTTTCGTTTGGTTTTGTTAGTTGAAAGACAACCTGTTTCTTCCAAAGATGGGTTCTTCTTTTTCTTTTGCTTTTTTTTGAGTATTTGTTTTATTTATGCTAACAAATGAAATAAAGGTCGGCTATGAATTAATTGAGATTACAAAGGATATAGCTGGTTTTTGACTCCTTTTGCTTGTTTTTGTTAATAAGAATAATCAAACATTTTGTTTTCGGCAGGCCGTTTACTAGGTATTTAAAAAGAATTTTCAACTTCTGTTTTGATTCAAAATAACAGTAAACTGAACTTGATCAAAAGAGGCTGTGTCATTGGATTGAGTCCACTAAACAAAGATGGCTTTTTTCTTTTTGCAATTCCCAGCCGTCAGGCTTTGGGCAAAATAATCCTATCTTTCATAATTAAAACTGTTATGACTACTATTCAAAATATATTTGGATGGAATAAATATTAAATTGATGTTTTTTAAGTGTTTTTAAATAATTTGATGTGAAAATCCTCGGAAAAATCTAAAAATTAACAAAATACTAATTGATCTGCTTTCAATGACCTCATAATCTCATAAAAATACTTACAGCGTATCTTTAAACTCACGTATTAATTTCATAAAAATGCTTGCACCGTATCTTCGAACTCACGGATTGAATCTCCCCTCGGTCAGATATTAAATAAAATAGTAGCCGCCCATAGGTGCATTGCGTATAAAATTGTGCGTTTTGTTCAACGTATGAACTGGTATGCACTTACTTATCATATAATATTAGATTTATAATTTTATACAAGTTGTAATGTTGGTGAAGGGTGGTTGTGGACTACTTCTATGTCGTCACCTATCAACAACGAGCTAATAAACAATTCCTGTATTATTTGTGGTTTCCTTTATCATGCATACTCGATCAGGTAGGGTACGTATTTTTAAAGATACTTTTCCTTTGTTTCTTTTCCTCTTTTTGACAGATAAAGATATAAATGTTTAAAAAGAATGTGTAGTAGATAATTAACTTCAATGATTAGACCAATGGGTTGCCAAGTTCTTAAATATTGTACTTTGAACAGGCTGCAATCTATAAGGTAAGGTCGTCCTAGGTAGCAACAAGAAACAGTCCTATAATCATAGAAGGTGTGACTAATGGCAACCCTTAGGACTATTGTTAAGATATTAGTTATTGGTAATAATTTATGGGGATTAAATATCGAAATAATTAGAATATTTTGAATTTCAAAATTTTTATTTAATCACATTAGAAATTGATGGTGATTAAGTTAAAATTATGAAATTAAATTTCACTAATTACTATAATATTTACTTTGATTAATTAAAATGAATAATTAGCCTTTAACAAATATTCGAATGACAATGTTAGCTTTTTCCTTTATTAATTAAACACATTGATTTACATGGATTTTTCATTTTTATTTATTTTTTGGTTGGTTTTATAAAGTTTTAACTTTTAGGATATTGCACTAGTTTTCACGTATCAAAATATATTGATTTACAATCAAAAGTGGTTGGTTTGAGTTGAATGAACTCTCTTAATTTAAATAAATGATCTTGAGTTTGAAAGTTTTTATGTAAATAAAATTTTTTTTGAATAGTTATACTCATTTTATACACTTAACTAAATAATAAGAGATTAATATGAATTTTTGAGTTTATGATATCTTGAAGATCTAAAAATACTAGACATTGATTTACATTAATTTAATATGCTTAATCACGAAAATATGCAATGATGCCAAATAAAATCCAGCAAAGCTAATTAATTAGTTGTGACAAATTGAATTCCATGCTAAGAGATTCCAAACCCATTCATTTTAAATCGGCACTTTCAAATCCTATTATTCTTAATTTTTTCTACTTTCAGTAGTTCTTCAATAGCTTCAAGCTATAATATGCCTTATTTAAAAAAAAAAAAAAAAAAAGGGCTAATAATATTATGCTTGAAGAAATCCAAAAACTGTATAGAAGATAAGGATGTGGGAATTAAGTAAAGAAACGTGCTCCACTGACTTCATGCTCGTAGCTTCTTTTTTGATTCATAAGCTTTACTTGAGGTTATAGTCTGTCAGTGTCATTTCCTTAGGCCAAGATAGACATAAAATTGCCTAGTTGGAGTCACAGGCATTGGCGGGTACTGAGTTTCTTTCTCCAGACGTCATTCAACAGAGTGGTTATGGCTTTACGCCTCGGTTTGCTTATCCATCCACGTAAGTGTGTCAGCGTGTTTTTGTCCAAGAAGAGAAATTATGGTCAAACAGCATAATCCATTCTGATAGTTTTGGTGGGCTTCTAGATAATGAACAGAATTGGTAGTAAAACAACAAGGAAGTTGAAGTGCGTGATGAGCTCACAAAGAGTCATGACATTTATGAAACTTAGAATGCATTTTGCATGTTTTATATATGAATGTTAATATTAATTTGATTTTGAAACATAATTCTCCAAAATTACTTTTAATAGGATAAAAATAATTAATGTTGAGATTGTATTTTACAAAAACTGAGTTAATAGATTCGTATGTTCCTCTAATTTCGTAATTTTCTTAACATGCATGGTCTCTATTAATTAATTTATCAAAACTGAGCAAAACTATAGTAAATATCAAAATAGTGAAAGTTACATTAATTTATCATCAAAACTGGAATATCAATATTTAACATAATTTTATTTTGAGTTGTAGTGTGGACAGACAAGTTAAACCAACTCAATCGTACATTAGAAAAAAAGAGTTAAGCAGTCAGTCTTCACTTCGCAAGTCAACTCAACATTTAACATATGAATTTGGAAGGACATACTTCTTAAAATAGCAGGAGATAAATAGAAGGACCATATTAAGAAAATTGTAAAAGTTGAGGTATTAATCCGATATAAATCATTAAAAATAACTTTTTTTAATTAAAAAAAATAAGATAACATGATTTCTAATTGATGATTCAATTCGAAGTTAAGAGTTTTTAAATTTTGATTGATACGAAACAAATTGAGGATCAAATATGTAAATGATCTCTTGATTTAAATAAAAAAATTATTTTAATTTGATCATCTAAACATGGTTATAATTTTTCTTTTCAATTACAAGTCAAAAAAAAAATTCAAATCATTTTGAAAAAAAAAACAAACATAACCTTAATCAATTTGGATTGTTCTAGCTTCTTCTTCTTCTTTTTCTTAATTATGGTATTCTTTAAATATTTTTCAGACATTGAGAATAAATTCTTACTGGATTATATATATATATCCGAATTAATATCCAACGTAAACTTTCCAACAATTGATTTTTCTAGATCTACCGTGAAGGATGCTTAGATAAACCTATTGTGTGAGGTTTCTGTTTTCTTTTGCTCCTAAAGGATAGATATCTATATATGTCGACATATTTTATGTAGCGGAAAATAGGGATTGTGACATAGCATCCAATCTTCCTTAAAAAAATTCTGCCTTTTGTCTTTATTCCTCCTCATTCATCTTAAATGATAATCTAACGATAAGCATAACTGAATCCTATTTGGTGACTCTTAATTGAAAATCTAGCAATCATAGAGAAACAGGGGGTTTTTTTTTAAAACATGATACTTGTAAAACTTATTTACAAAAATAAGATTGTTTTAATTTTATTTATCAAAATATGATAGTTTTTACTATGTAAATCAAATCTCTTATACATATCAGTTTTTTTTTAATATTAATAATGAGTCATTTAACACATCAATTTTATTTCAAAAAAAAAAAATTATGTTAGGATGGGTATAATCAGAAAGGATAATTAGAATGATGAATGCTCTGTTATTGGGTTGTCTTGCAATTTGGTTATCTCGAGGACAGAGTACTTCAGCCACATGATAAGATTACCATTTGGTTATCTTGCAAACCAAAGGAATTGGGATTTCACACATCTGTGGTATATTTCGATGTAGATGATGATAGGATTGAATGCGTTGTTTTTCTTTTGGCTGAAGACAATGTCTCCCGTTCTCTGGCTCCCAACAGAACATATTCAAGAACACCCAGAAGAAAACAATATGCAGTTGACGAGTATGTGGTTTCCTCGCATCCTGAGTTTCCAATCCCAACGGATCTCAGAGAGTTATTGCATAATAAGCGAGTCCCTGATGTTATTATGGAAGATTTGAACATGGAGAGTTATGCTGCGTTTAGCTTAGAAAAAAAAATAATAAATAAAAATAAAAGAATTTAGAAAAATACATTAATTGACAATATTCATATATTGAAGAACTTTTCTAGTAATTGTGGTGTTGAATTATGAGAGTATTTGAATTTTAAGAAATTAGGATAACAACAACAAAAAGGAGACAAAGAAAATGTAAGTTAATTGTTTCTTTTATATTTCTATTTTTAAAAATTATTATATTAAATATTAGTAATGTAATACTTAATTAAAAATATGACATGAATGCTTACATTGCAAAACTACATCTTTTTTATAAATAAAATTTAAAATACCTTATTTTGAAAAAATAGATTAAAAACTACTACATTTCGAAAAAAAAAAAAAACTCCTCATTCATCTTAAATGATAATTTAACAATAAGCATAACTGAATCCTATAATTGAAAATCTAGCAATCATAGAGGAACAGCCTTCAGCGCATTCAGAAATTAGTAACAATTAATGTGCCATACATGTTAAGTAGTTTAAACAATTTTAGTTAAAAAAAAAAAATTATAGAGTTAATTATTCTTTAGTCCCTGAATTTTGAATGCAACTATATCTTAATTTCTCATGTTTGAAAATCTATAATTCAGTCTCGTCATTGTCTTTTGAAAACCCTCACTATATATATATTGGTTTTTTCTATCGATTAGAATTGTTAAATGGTCCGTTTGATATTTAAAAAAAAAAGAAGAAAAAACAATAGATATTTTAATAAGACAATGATCAACAAAGATTAAGGGAGTAAATTATAGATTTCCAACAACAAATGACTAAATTATAATATAATTCAAACCTTAGGACTAAAGAAAAAATTTACAAATTTATAACATAGTACTATTTTGTTCTAGCTCTTCGATGAATGTTCCAATGATGTCATAAATCACAATTTCCAATATTTACATCAATTGTGTGTTGGGAATCATCATCATCTTTATGAATGCAGCAACAAAATCAATTTTAACTATGCTAGGAGTGATGGCCGACAGATTAGGTTGATGGAACAAAAAATGTGGCCTTGATACTGTTCGTCCTAACCACTTTCATGAATGATGAGGGCCACAGGGCTCCTAGCATAAGTGGAATATGTTCTCATGTATTTGATCACCACCTATATATCTCAACAACCGAACAAACAAAAATAATATAAAATTACAGTTGAATTATGAATTTATATATGCACTTGAAGTATTCTCAATTGGTATAGGCATTTTCTTCTTACAGTAAAAGATCTGATTCCTTGGCACCAAAGTTTTTATCATTGATATTTAGGGTTAGTTAAGGTGCATTTGTCAATCGATCGAACAAAAAAAGGAGGAGCATAGATGAAAATGACCACCTTGTCTTGACCTGAACGACCTATCCCAATCTCGAAGCCAATCTAAAAGTGGTCATATTGAGTTAGTTAGTAGTCCAAATCATTGCTCACTAATGAATTTCTACTCATGCATGCATAAAGATGCAATTAGGTACAACAGAGGTTCCACCAGCAATGGGAAATGTCTTCTTTAGTTTGTTTGTTTTTCTTTTTTTATTCTAAGTTTTCACATGGCTCACAGCAGAAGGACTAGGAGATTCGACTTGCATCTCAGACTGCTTCTTGCTTCTGACATGGAGAAACTTAAATGGAGCTGAAAGGAACGAACACATGCCATATCCGATTCTGTATTTCTAATTTTGCCCATAAATGACCCATTCCAAGGATATGATGAATGACAGAAGCCAGCTAATTAGTAAAATTGGCAAGTAGCATTCTCTCCAACAGGAGAAATGATCCGGTACAAACTCCAATGGGACCAATTTTATGAAAAAGAAAATTGATGTGTGTGCTTATAAGTAAGCGAGCATGGATAGTTTTCTTTTAGCATGGACATTTGGGCTATTAGCCGACTCGTCGTCCTCCTCCTCTAGGGTTGAAGCTCCTTTGCATGCAGTGAGACGGTCCAAACAATTACGATACAATTTTGATGACTGAATTCCAATTTTATTAAAATTTTAATTAAAAAAAATTAGATTCCAGTATGAAATTTCAACTTTTTTATTAATATAAAAATATCATCGAATTATAAACCTATTATGACTAAAATAAAAGAATATTTTAGAATTGAAGAACAATTTCAGTCCAAATGAAAATACGGTATAGTGTTGGTTAATTAGGCATGAATCAATGCAACCTACAACTCCAAGAAGGGACACATGCAAAGGCCATTTGGTTTTGGATTTGGGAATGGATATTTCTCCATTGATTTACTTGAAGGTTGGTGAATTTGATTCGGCCCATTACAAACTCAGGGGCGGCATATGCTTAAATTTCTGGACTTGTAAAATCTTTAGTGGTCCAGCAACCAGGGACAATAAAGCCTAGTTTCCTTGGGCCTGTAAAGAACCTCAATTAATCAGGCCTTGCTTTAAGTTCACACACTTCACCGCTGGCGCCTGTTAGGTTCTCGTACTGTGTATATAAGGTACTGCATTGAGCATGGACTTCTCTCTGCAAATACAGTGCAGGCGGCTCATTAGCCGTACCCAACTTAAATCTTTCTCGAAGCTTAGGTGGAACAACTTAAACCTGGGCTTGGATATTTGAATTAAGATATGGTTTGATTACTAAAAATAAAAAATCCGAAACGATAATGAATAGATTCAAACTAAAATTAAAAAATCAAAATGATATTTATATTCTCATACTGTATTTGGAATGCTAATAAAGAATTGAAATGAAATTTAAATTTTTTAATTTCTGTCTTTTTATACGAATAAAAATAGCGATTAAAAAAATAATTTTAACAAACTATGATAATTGTAAAATTAATAAAGTTGATGGTGGTGGTGGTTGTTGTAGAAGTAGTTAATATATAATAAAGAATTGGAATGAAATTTAAATTTTTTTAATTTCTGTTTTTTTATACGAATAAAAATAGCGATTAAAAAAATAATTTTAACAAACTATAATAATTGTAAAATTAATAAAGTTGATGGTGGTGGTTGTTGTAGAAGTAGTTAATATATAATAAATAAAATAATTAATATATTATTATTTTGAAAAAAAAATCATTTTTATTTTTTTTTATTCTCACCTTTTCTATGATAATGAAGTTATGTGTAATTTTCATTCCTATTCTTACTTTATTATTTTCAATCAAACAACTAAAAAGTAGAAATAAAACTTTTATTTTCATTCTCGTTATTTCATTTTTAATAACCAAATAGGGCATGAGGGTTTTCTCTTAGGGTTTAGACCATTGGAGATTCGTTGGACCTTGGATGATCCCTACTTCCCGTAATTCCAGTTGCAAGGTTTATTCTCTAGACTATTATTAGGTACCAAATCAAATTGACTTGGAGTTCAACCCACTAAAGATGGTGGCTTTGGTGTTTTTGGTATGGTCTCTAAAGCAGAATATCAGGAACATGCTGTTTGTGATGGCTATGATCAGGAAATGTTTTATTTTCAGTAAAATACTGACAGATTTGGTGACACCAATCCACCCTTAATCTACATCTGCAAATAAGTGTTTAGACTGAAAAGGAATAAATTTGGAAAAATAAAATTGCAATTATCTTTTCGATCGTTTCCTTATCATTTGATTATGTTAATCCAAAATTAAATAAATAAAATATTAATATTGTTGTTGATTCAGTAAATTATCCGGAGAAAGAGTCGTCTTCTTCAGAAAAAAATATGAATTATATTCCTGGTGGCTACTTTTGAGCTCTAAATCCCAAACTCAGAAGCAAAGGACTAAAACTTAATTAACCTTTACGCTTACTCAGTGTAAATTGAACCCCTGCATGCCTGCCGCCGCATTCCTCTGACTAACGGGGTTTTTGACGCCGCCCAACATGCCGTGACGGTGACCTCTTGGCTGGCACAAGTTACCTTCCGCTATTCTGCGAAATAAACAGTTGGGACGTTTGCTTTGCATTGAAAGGTACTCTTGATTCTTAGGTCATCAATTTGCACGTGAATGAGGAATTGTGGCGGAAGGAACCTAATTTTATGGGCCACCAGACAATCACTTTTTACGGAACTGGACGTATCTCTTCTCTCCCATCTCAATAATGAATATTCCTGTTTAAACTGGGATCACTACTCAATAATGGATGTTCCTGTTTAAACTTTGCAACCTAGAATGACTTTTTTTACACTTATTTAAGAAATTAGAACTTCAAGTTAATTTGGCGGTTTAGCAGGCTTATTTTCTTTTTTCACATTTTGATTTCAAATTTTAGAGTATCCGGATAAATTAAATTTATTTGCATGTACTAAATTGTTGTAGACAGTATGCTTTTAAGATTATTCCAAAAAGTATTTAATCTCTATTTACATACAAACTCACCTGAAGATATTTAAAAAAGAGAGAGAGAGAGAGAGAGAGAGCTATCGGCTGCACAATTCTAGGAACAAACTCACCTGATGATATTTTTACAAAAAAAAAAAAATTTAATCTCTATTTACATACAAACTCACCTGATGATATTTTTACAAAAAAAAAAAAAAAAGAGGCTTTCGGCTGCACAATTATAGGAACATATGTATTTTATATGACATAACTAGTTGCAGTCACCTAGGATGACACGATCCACCAAACAGATTTAATGAAAATAAATAGTATAAAGAAGTAGTAAATTGCTTAAATTCACATAAAAATAAATTTGCCAAATTCAAAAGGAGTTCTATTTATTTATGCATTATCTTTTAATTAAAAGTTAGATTCTCAACTTAGCGGTAATGTGGCAAACGCAGAGACTATAATTGAAACCCTTCAACTTAAGTTTTTAGATTTAATGGTTATTTTCTTAAATGTGAATTGCTGCTCTAAAATTTCTATGTTGGGTAGCCTTAAAACAAATTGTGTTCTGTTATAATAAAAAGCTAACTAGTTTTTTTTTCTTTTCTGAAAAAAAATTAATCAAAACAATTCGAAAATTTTGATGGACAAAACCCATTTAAGATCATTCTTATAATCTCTCTTGAATGTGATCTGGAATGGTTCTTTTAGTTCTTTAACAGCAAGGCACTTGTCAATTCATGCTTTCCTTCTTCTGGTTTCTATTTAACTTCTGTCCTTATAGCACTTTAGTAGAATTTAATGATTAGAGTTCATACTTAGCCAATGTACGTGGTTAGCAATGAATGTCTAGACAATTTTCAAAGTCTATTATTGCTTTCATCGATCCTTTTACCAACTTTGCACTCAATGATTTCATTTTAGAACACATATTAAATTTGTGAAGATGCTTCGCTTATTGAATTGTATCATCTTCCTGAATGCGATTTCTAAGCACAGAAATGCCCTCCACATGGTTCTCTTTTCATCATTTTCCTTTCAATCGTTTTTTATCTTGAAAAGATCGATAAGCTGGGACCATACAATTGAATTTTGGTAGAATTCTGCTAAAAAATGACGGTCCGGTGTCTCTTTCATGAAATCACCCAATACGTATGAGAGATCCAATTCTTTATTAGCTGAACGATACGATTAATAGTATATGATTTCCTGTATTTGGGTATTACAATGTCTAATGTTGTTTACTTAATAACTTTGTTTTACTGTCATAATCTCTAGAATTAGTCAGAAAAAGTCATCTTTCGTCTCCTGGTATATTTTACTAACTTAATGATCATCGCCTGATATATTTTACTAACTAATAATAATGAGGTTAATTCATATAAAGACTTCCTAATGTATAAGTTCCCTGACTTTTTATGTTTAATTACAGCCCATTAATTATTTAATGTTTTAATTGACATATCCTTTATTATTTTTCATGCATTTTTAATCCCGTGTTAGATAGATTCGCCTAGACGATTTCGACGTCAATGAAGTCAATTTCTTCCTCCTCCACTCAGACACTCCACTCCGCAATGGGAAGACAAAAGGAACCCCAAGCCATATGCCCTTTTTATAAGAATTGCATATGTTTTCTTATAAAAATATAAAAATAATATATAAAAGGAAAAAAAAGTCAAAACCATTAAAAAAAAGCTAATTAACCTCCATCAATATTATGATAAAAACATTATTTACAATAAGAGAAAATAGTCGTCAAGAAATTTACCATTTAATGTCATTAAACTCATATCCATGAACCTAAGAGATAATATGATGGAATCCATACTCACTTATGGTTAATTAATTTTTTAAGCCTTCTATTCAAGCAATTGAAACAACAATTAAAAAAAATAGAAGGAGAAAAGGAACGAACAACAACATGTCTTTGAGTTTTTGATGGTTGTTGAGTCATTTTCCTAGCTAGGAAAAGAACTTGATTAATTAACCATTATTGTGATTATTGACTCAAAAAGGAGATCATGAAAATGATTAAGAGTATCATAATTACTCAGTTCTTTAGAACAATGTCATAATGACAAACCTACTAATTTAAGAAGAAGAAAATATTTTTAAAAATTATTATTTGATACCAACAAAATACAACTTTGTAGTTTATTTATTTATTTCCACACAGGGACCCATCAACTGGGAAAATTAAAGAACGGTAAATTTTATTATTGCTAAAATACTCCTCAGTGAAACACTATTAAAATATTTTAAAAAATAATAATAGGTGACCCAAATTACCATTTAAGTTAAAACAAAACAAATAAATATATCTTGAGTATAACAATAGATAATATGTCACTGCCTGTCAATTACGATAATTTCTCATTCAATTAATTCAAATATTAAAATATCAGTCAAGTTGTGGTTATAAAATTGGGAAGTAATGTGGAAGGTGGACTTATGTAAATGGACGTCCCATGCTTTGAGAGCTTAACATATGGAAAATATAAATGTAAGTTTAGAGCATATTGTTCCCTTATCCAGAGGACATCCCTATCCCCAAACTCAATACAAGTAACGACAGTCCTGCGGTTGGAAATTCAGATATGTGGTACCAGAGCGCCCAAGAACAGATGATACTTGTCTGTCATGTCCATTCCAGGTCCACTTATGGAGTTGTCATATATCCAGAGGAGTAGTGTCTGGACATGTATGGTTTGTGGTCACACAAACTCTTGTTTTGTACACTTCATTTTCCTTCTGTGGTTAAGGGTGAAGGACTTGTTGAATCCGTGGCAGAAATTATGGATAAACGACTCTACTTCGGTATTAACTTGAATAGATTTACACGAGCACGGTCACTCCCTTCACTAAACCAAAATTCAAGTTTTAATGATGGTAATTATTCGATTTAATAAGAGAGGTTTATTTCCAATGTTACGAGATCTCAATTGAGAGTTTACATAAAACAACTAAAAAAAAAACAAAGCAAGACCTATAACGTGCTTGTAATCCAATGATACTCTTTATATAAAAACAAATTTCGAGTCTCCTTTCTATCAATACATTATTGATATCAACAAAGAAAAGGAAAAAAGAAAAAATGATAATAGCTAAACTATAAATGGATCCAATTTTAAATCAAATTCGATGTGAATCGATGTAATTAAATAAATTTGATAAATATTTTTTTAATTCAAATTCGATTATGATCCGAATTTGTTAGGATGTTTTTAAATAGATCATTTCTTGATTTGTTATTATCCGATTTGATAATAATTTGATTTGAAATTAAAAATAATATGAAAAAATATATATATAATATGAAACTAGGTTGAAATTTAGAGGTTATTTATTATAAAGTTTAAATAACACATATCCTTTCACAGTGACAATTGTATTTTCAAAAAATTACAAGTAAATTTTTTGTGCTTTCTTAATTCAATTTTGTGAAAAAAATTATAAATTGACTTATATATTTTTTCAAAAGTTGATGTTCTTATACATGTCATTAGTCTATTTTTGCTACCACATAGACAAGATATAAAGATTATTTATTATTATTATTATTATTATTATTATTATTATTATTTAGTTTATCATACTTTTTACCTAGTTCAAAACAAACTTTGACTAAAATTATTTTAATTTTGTACTTTTGAATTGAGTGACATCTTAAATTTTTTACAAAATTGATAGATGAAATATTATCTTAATATATTTTATCATACATATATGGTTAAAATATATTTTATATTCAAGCAATATATTAAATATAGTAAGTATAAATTTTTTACAAAAATCAAGTGATAAATATAACGAGCTTTGAATCCGATTCAATCATGTTATAATCTGAATCCAAATTTATATTTTTTAAAATTCAAACTGTTTCATTAAATAAATCAGACCTGAATTTACTGTGATTCGATTACAATCCGGTCCATTTTCAGTAATATATAACAACCAAATGTATGGCATTTTGTGATTTAATTAAATAGTCCTTAAAATACCTTCCTTTTTCCATATTATTATCACCAACCTTCATTCTGGAGTCCAGCTCCAAGCCAAATAAATGTTCCAAAAGGCAAAAGGAGCAGAGCTTAGCCTCTATTATGAGTCCCAATTCCCAACTAGAAAGGGTGATGGCACTAACTAACGTTCCTCCATTATGCATCACACAGAAATTCATTGCATGTGCTATGTTTATAATGTTGGCATTAATGCATAGAAATCATTTAGTCTGATATTGTTACATATTAGATATTAGAGATATTTAAGTTTTTATTTTTATCTTGAAGGAACCAGCGTGCGTGATCTTATAGGAAAACCTATTAATTTTGAAGTTTTTTTTTTTTTTTAAAGAACTTTATGACAGCTTCCCAGAAGCACAAGTAAGCGTCTGGCGTGCCTATGCCAAAGAGACGGTTAATAGGTTTGGATTGAAAGATACTCTTGCAGTTGCTTCTTACGTCATTGGATGAATGTTGGGACTAATCAAACAAGGCCTGTCTTCTAAATGGAGATGCATCTCAACTGTATAATGTTTAAAAATGGCAGCTCCACTCTCCCCATTGGGATGAAGCCTTGTAATCTGCACTAGCGATTCCGCTTTCGTGTGGCAAAAGCCTATTGCCTCTAGGGCTTTGCAATAGAGAGAAAAATAAGTTGTTTTATTAAGGCTAAATAATGCTATCTCTTAATTTTAATTTATTTGAATTTTTTTTTAGTTTTCGATTTCGGATCTAATCTCTTTTAACTGTATTTCGTGGGATTTCATCGATAAATTAATAGATTTTACATATAAAAAGCACATGACTAGTATATAAAAAAAAAAATCGGTACTTTGTTCAATAAAAAAATGAAAAATACTTAAATACATGTGATAAAAGAAATATTAGAATTATTTTTTTTAATGATGATGTGACTTTCACGTCTAACAATTTCTTATCTTGTAAATATAATTTTACAAAAACTAACAAAAACACTTGATTTCGAATGAAACATAAATAAGGGAGATTAAACTCCAAAATAAAAATTGAAGGATTTATTTTCAAAATAATTGAAATTCAGAAGATATGTCATTCATATAGTCTATTATTAATTATATTCTTATCCTCTCGAAAAGAAATGAAAGAAAAATGAACTGGTTAATATCTAAACAATATCAGTGGTTAATTTATTTTTTTTGAATTTGTGGACATTTAATTTTTTTTTATAAAAACTATCTATTATTGATAGGAAATTAAGAATTAGAAGAGTAACAATATTGGAATTTATATAATTATATATAATTTGTAGTAGATTAATTTGGTGTTTCGCACTAAATTATAACAATGACATCAGTGACTCGGTTCAGCTTTATAAATTCTTGTCCTAAGACAGCTCAATGTGCTTCATGATTGATAATAGTACGTGGTGGCCAATTTCATTCGATTCATGAATTCACGAGTGCAAAAAGGCTAAGATGTCCCATCTCACTCATTTGCGTGGGACCTTTTCATCCTCAAATAATTTTATACACAAGGTTTAGAGGAACGTGATTGCTTTCGACCACTCGTATGGACTTGATTATGTCGTACAAGGACAAAATCGGCATGCAAAATTCGTAAGAGTTAAAAAATATTTACATCTTGAATTTGAATGGCAGTTAACAATATCATCGCTGCCTTTCAATTACATCAATTTCGCATCCAATGGATTTTCCATGTGAAAATATAAACGAAGGCATGGCTATATATGGAAAATTGAGAGGGTATGAGAAAATCAATAATGGAATTGTTTTGGTGCACACAATGAATGAAAATGACCATCCCCATGCCATGGAAGCTGGAATGAAAGTGAAACTTTTATGGTGGACATTATTATTTTGGTTTCGGTTTATTATTACTTAAGTCCTTATAGTTTAACGAATCTAGCTATTGGTTTCTATTTCATATAAAAAAAAATATCAAATAGCCCCTCAATCAACTTTGATCATTCTCCATTTAGTGTGTACTAGTTCTTTACCCGCGTTACGCTACGGATTCGAACAAAACTTATAAAATTTTATTTTAAAAAATAATTTTAATTTGATGATATGTATTACATTATTAGTCACTAAAATAATTAAAGAAAATATAAAAAAAACCATTATTTTTTTAAAATTCTACGTGTAACAAAATATTTATTATTTTTTTTATAAATTTTATGCTAAAAAGAACACAATTTATTCTTTTATATTCAAATTCTTAACTCGATAACTTGTAATAAAAATTCTAAAATTCATGGACTCTTAACTAAAAACTTTTCATATAATTTTTTTCAAAAAAAATGTAAGACAAATTATTTAAAGAATACTTTTAACCTTATTTTGTAAAAAAAATTGATATATATATATATATATATATATATATATATATATATATATATATATTATCATTTAAGAATAAAAAATTTCGTCATATAAATTATATTAAATTTTTTTAAAAGAGTAAATAACAATATTCTAAAAAATTATTAAAAATTCGTAGATAGATTTCTCTCCCCTCCCTCGTCTCGCTTCGTTTTCTCTCCTCTTAGCAATTAATAACCAGATTATAATAAAAATAAAGTTGTAAATCGAAATAAAAATTATTAAAAAATGAGGGACCAAAAACCAACATAGCAAAACTTTACATATAGAATGTCCAAAAAAAAACCTCAAAATTAGTAGTTGAGGGTAAAAACTAATGTATGCTCGAATAAATGCATAAAAAAATTAAAATAACAAAAATGTTGTGAGTGTGTGAATAGTCTAAAAATAATAAAAACCCCTACCTCTTTCTTTTATGATTCTTTATAATTTTTTTTTTTTTTTGGCTAAAATATATCAAGAACTCCTAAGATTAAAAAAAATTAATTACACTATACAAATTAAGGAATTTTTTTTTTTTTGCTTATTTACTAAATAAGTCAAAAAAAAAATCCTTAATTTGTATGGAATAAGTCAAACCCAACTCTTTTCTCCCCTCTCCTTTTTCGGATCGAGTCGAAGTCGCCCAACCCAATCACATACGGGTTTGGCTTAGCCCAACCAAAAAAAAAAAAAAACCTTTTTTTTTCTCTTTTTTCCTCTTCTTTCATCCGATCGCTCTCTTTCTCTCTCTTACTTCTTCTTCCTTCCTTCCCTTCTTCTTCCTTTCTCTCTCTGTCTTCCATGGACGAACCAGTAATGGTTCTTCCCTCTTTCTCTTCTTCTCCTTTTTTTTTCTCGTCTTTCTTCTTCTTATTCCTCTCTCTCTCGCCTCATCTCTTTCTTTTTCTCTTTTTCTTCCCGATCCATGTAAGAAACGAACCGGAGATTTCTAGTCATTCTTTCCTCCTTTCTCTCTCAATCCTTCTTTCCCTCTCACCCTATTAATCTTCCTTTTCCAATTAAATCAAAATTGAAAAATTTTCCCAATTTGGCCAAACCCTAAGTTTTTTATTTTTCAATTTTTCCTTTCAAATGGCCTTAATTGGCTTAATTTCTCTTGAGATCAAGCTAATTCAAACCTAAATAATAATTATTTTCAAAAACCCCTAATTTTTATTGTTGTTGAAGATCTCGAAACCCTAGGTTTCAATCTCATTTAATTTGGGTTCAATTCATGGTTTAAACACCGAATTGAAACTCCAATTAAGTTCCATTAGCCTTCATTTTTATTATTCAATCTCAATTTCAATCCATAACAAAAATATC